TATATATAGATATATAATTACACACATACAATTACACACATACAATACAATAATTTAATAGGTGTCTAGGTGTCCCTAGCCATCTCCAAGCTGTAATGTATGCATCAGCTCAGTTGTACTTCTTCCAGAGTTAAGTTGGCCAAACACATTTAATGAATGGGAACAAGAGAAAACCACTCGCTTCCACCACCTACTCTAAAGTACATATTTGGTTATTTAATTTTTTATTAAAAGTAGTCGTGGTAGCTCAGCTGCTTTAGTACTTGAAAAGTGACTGCGGGTGATTGGCTGCAGTCCCTGTTCAACCAGCAGTGACTGCAACCACCAACAGAGCCACCCATGGTACAAATTTCAGCGATTTTGTAGGAATCATCTGAAATTCGAGCCATGCATGGCCAACTTTAAACTAAACAGGAAATTATTAATGTTGCCATTCAATTCCTTGTGAAAATCAACTTTTCATATGAATACATATATGGTGGTGGCCTGGTCAAATCTTATGAATTCTCAGAGTAGTAGACCAGTTTTATTGGCCTTAAAAATGTTATTACGTGTGGCAAAGATCTCTCTGTTTGTGTGTGTGTGTGTATATATATATATATTTATTTGATTTTTTTTCCCCAAAGCAATGTGTGCTGTTATATTAGGTTTGTGAGTGCAAGTAAGCTTGTCCTAAGATAAAGCTGCCATTTCTGCCCTCCCTCTGAAAATGCTAGCTGGCTGGCTATAATGTTTATCTACTTTCTTTAATATTTTCTAAGTCACTGACCTGGAACAGGAATGCTGATCAGGAAAAAAGTCAGTAGTTCATATCTTGTATGCTTGTCCTAGGTCCGTGACACAAGATGTAAGGTTCAACTCTACAGCCAGACACAGCCAGCATCTTATACTATCTCAGCAGCCTCCATGTTTCTCTTATGACAGACTTAAAGTATATCTAAACCTAAGAACAGAAATGTAACATTTTGTAGCCTAACAGTCTACCTTAGCACATGAAAATAGGAAAAAAACAGCCACCACGTCTAAGTACATTTTCTACAAATACAGAAAATACCTGAAATCTCAAACAACATAATCAACTTTATCTGTCTTCTGCAAACTACAGAACACTGCCCTAGATGTATTGGAGAAGAGGGGAGGTGTTTATAGTCCAAATCAGGAAGCAGCCTGAACTGACATCACTCTTCTCCATAGATAAGGCACAGTGAGTGAGCAGCGTCACCCAAGGACAGGAAGTGTGTTACTGGCAGATCACCAGGGGAAAAAAAGGAAATCATTGCAGTCTGCACTTCTAAGGAATTATATCTGTAGATATATTGCATTTTTTTATTTTGCCTTCAGCTACAATTTAAGCTTCTTTTTGACTAGTCAAGAACACATCTGCAGGCATTGTTAAAAACCTGGAGGAAGAAGGTGGGATAATTGCTAACAACAGCCAATCAGATTCATTGTTTAGCTTGTACCATACAATGAAAGGCTGATTAGTTGTTATGAGTCATAGTCCCACTTTTGTACATTTAGCTTATAACTGTTGTTATTGTTATACTTGTGAACACAACATTAACAGTATTTAATATTATGGGTTGTAAAGGTATCAGTGAAATGGCATGTGCTGTCCTTTTTAGAAGCAGACACTGTGGATGTTGTTTCCTTTTCAGTACACTGTTTGTACTCCTAACCAATCACAGCTTGCACAGTGACAGCACACAGGGTAGTGTGCTTTTCTTTGGAAAACCTGAAATTTCATTGAAATAAAATTAGTTTTCTTATAGCTTCCTATAGCACAATGTAGATAATCACAAGACGGAATAACTGTCTCATAAATCCATCAGGAATCTGCAGCTTGTTCGTTTCCAATTAATTATTCAATCAGTGAATTTTTTAACTCCAGCAGCATGGTTACGACTACGCTAATAAAGAATTTTCAGCCTATAATCCAAAACAGAACCTGAATGAATAATGTAATTGAAGTATTACATTACATAAACCACACATGAAAGAATTGCTAATTGTGTTTGATGGCGAGCAATTAATACAGAATCTAAGATGAACAATTTAAAACAAGACTACAGTTTAAAGATTCCACTGAAAAGCGACAACTCAAGTAGTGAGGTAAATCAACAAAGTTGAAAAAAGCTGTACATAAAAAAAAAAAATTATAATTTTTTACATTGCACAAAATAGAAAAAAAAGGTTTAAAATTGATATAGTAGTAGGGATTTATGATCTTGTGTGTACTGTCTCAGTTGAGACAGCCCACACATTTGATAAATATTAATAGGAGGAATTTATTACCAGGGAGAAATGAGCTATGTTGGTTCATCACTGCACCCTTAACAGCTATCAGTACATGAACACAAGGTGCAACCGCACTATTATATGACCCCATTTACTCTCTGAATGGTACTTCATTAAACGGTACCTTTTGGCCATGCTATGGATGGATGAAAATCAAAGTTATCAAGGCTGCAAGTCCTGAATAATGAGTTTCACCCAACCTTGAATATATTTAGATGAGCTAAGGTGGTTAAGTGTTCATCTTAGTTTTTACATGCTTTTCCTTACTTAATAATACATTCTTCTTTATCAGTTCATGATTGCATGCCTACAAACATGTTATGCTTGTTATGGCCAGCTGCTAAAATAAGTTAGCGGATCATTGTAAACATACTCATTTGCATACATATAGAAAATGAAATTCCTGCGCTTATTTTAAACATGTTTGACTATTTCTGACTTTAATCTTTTTTATTGTAATGCGAACAGTGGATAGCAGGAGTACATATTCTTGTCTGATACTCCCACATAAATTGATACAAGGCTTATAAAAGTAGTGTAAATAATATATCACTTTGCGCTTACTCAGTCTGCAGCTTTAGGGAGCCCATGAAACATATTTTAAAAACCTGGGTAAATGATGTTGTTTCCTCGCTCAGCAGACTTTATTTTTGGCTAATAGTGCAGAGGTGGGTAATCAGGAGGAAAAAGATTTGACAGTTCTTGGAAAAGTGCAGATGTGGAAACAGAAACACTGTCTCCAGATACCATTTACTAATATACACTGTAGTGCACACAGTGAAAAGTGCTTCTTATCAAGCTTATCAATTATTAGTTCCAGTGTCTACACTTATCAGTCAGGTGTCCATTCTGGCTCGTTTCATTTCTCTTAAAAGTTGTATGTTATGCACAAATGTGAAATTAATGCCTGTCTTCTTTGACATAATGCTGAAGACTTCTAAGTAAAGAATATATATTATATTTATTTAGATTGCACTGGCAAGTCTCGCTGCATATTACAGAGTCCAATGAACTTATCACCCCTGAATTAACTTGTGACTTGACAATCTCTACCATGCTCATACAGGCATACACATTGGACCAGTTTGGTCAGTCAACTATTTTCTGGTTGGTAGAAAGAAAGCAAAAAAACCAAATGCAAGCAGAGGGGAGCAGAAATAACCCCCTGCAAAGATCCATATTGTTCTCTTTCATCTGCACTAATTAGAGTGGAATTAATAGCATAGGAAAGATTAGAACCTTTCTCGGTTTCTTATTGCTGTCTGTATCCATGCTGGGGAGATTTATTCCCACTTCCCCTTGTGTCACTGAGACAGAAATTGTGAAGAATGTATTTAACAAGGTTATAACACAGCACTGAAAGTTTCTGTGTGGAAAGGTCAGAACATCATTTAGCTTTTGGTTGCCGCCTGTGTCCTCATAGACCAGATTTATTTTCTACTTCTTGTGTCTTAACCACTTGCCTCCGCCCGTTGTAAAAAAACGGACGGACGACACTGCAGCTTTGGTGGGTTGCCGTCTCCAGACGGCATTTTTTTTTCTGCTCGCGCGCGCCCCCTAGCGGGCACGCACGGGCTGAAAAGACCCGACCAATGCAAACACCCGTTACCGGGTGTTTCACATATAGACGATCAGCGGCTCCATAGCCCGCCGATCGTCTATATGTGCTCTGCTTCATCAGCTTCTTTGGGGTCCACAGGTGACATTAGGGGTCCTAGGGACCCCTAATGTCTCCATAAAGAGGACCTGTCAGTGTGCCTTTGCTATTATATAGGGGGATTGTTATCCCCCTATATAATAGCAATAACAATAAGTGCAAAAAATATATATATAAATAAAAAAATAAAAGTCACATATAAAAAAGTAAAATAAAATAAAAGTCGCGTATAAAAAAAGTTAAAAAAAAAACGCAAAATGTTGAACTCCCCCACCCCCACGTTTACGCAGATATAAACATAAATACCCGTCCGGTGCACCAGCGCGCAAACACGACAATTGCGCTACACACGTTACATATCGCCGCGAACGTCGCAGTGAGAGCAATCATTTTAGGGCCATCAATCACTGATAACACTAAACTGATGAGCGGTAAAAGCTTTTAAAGCATAGCCTATGGCCAATTTTGGGTATTATCGTTTTTTGAGGTTTTGCGTGCGCACACAATTTTAGGGCTTGACATGTTTGATGTCTTTTTACCCGACGTGACCCCGTCTTTTATATTTTACCAAAAAATTGGGTAATAATAAATGTTTTATCATTTAATATAGGGGAAATCGTTTTTCTTTTTAATTTCGGTAATTGTTCCTTAATATAGTAAAAAATAAAAACCCCAGTGGTGATTAAATGCCACCAAAAGAAAGCTATATCTGTCCCTAAAAAATGGTATAAAATTAATTTCAGTACAGCGCTGCATGACGGAATAAATGTCAGTCAAAGTACCGCAGCGCTGAATACTGAAAAATGGCCTGGATGGGAAGGGGGTTTAACACCGCGGATGTCAACTGGTTAATGGGGGGTTTAAGATGCTTCTGATCAGGTTTACATCTGTATTATAGAATCCATGTATCAAAAGATAAACAAGAAAAGAAAATTGTTCCAAGTTAATGTAGTTTAAAGCTGCATATAAGGGTCTTTGTAATATTTTTATTATATATTACAAACAATTAAAACAGCGCTTTTGTAGTAATGATTTAATCCCACCAACCAGGACAATGTATTTCGTAGAAGAGAAAAGTAAACTGTCAGATATAAAGTTTTTTGGTTTCCTCAAATGAAGATCAAATAAAAATACTCTCATGAATCAAAATAAAGTTATTTTGACCCACAACAGTGTTTTCTTTAATCTATTAAACAGCTATCATAGTACCACCCTTCAGCTCAGCCGAGGAGATAACAAACACGGTATATGCTGTAGGACCATATAAATTGATTGAATAATGGATTTCTTTTGCAAATGCTGTGCTGGCTCTTCAGTGCAATAAGCCACTTCTCCAAAAACTTAGAAACCTATTTTAAGGGAAGCTATAATGGTATAGGTACATTTTATATGTTTTAGTAAGTTTATGAAGCTATGTTTTGTATTATTTTTTAGTATAAAATTCTTATTTTACAAATTAACATTTTATATAGGATGCATTTATAATAAAGTGTTTACAGGGCATGTTCAACACTGCCCCTGCACTTGTTGGTGGCTCTTGCAGTTTGTAAAGAAGAAACTGGCTATATTAGCAGAGAGGTTGTTGTGTGTGTAATCCGATAACCCCCTATTCCTGTCAATGCATAACACATACTGTCCACAACATAATTGTAGTAAATAAACTTTCTAAATACTTGGAACATTAACCTTGCATTTGCCATCTGTTCATTGCAGTTGGTAAATATGCACCCTTCATATGTAATAATGTAAATACAAAACACTGTAAGTGTCCTAAAAGCTGCATAGTAAATAATAAATGATAGAACTAAATGTAAAAGAAGTCTATTTTACAAACATTTTAAATGGTCACCTCGCTTTACAACAGGATAAATGGCTTCAATATTTCCAAATGTTAGCACTATGCTTTATATCTAAACACAGAAAACCGAAATTCCAACTAGTTTATTTGACTCTTCCTTTTTTAATAAGGCAGCATGCAGCGTTATGTAGCCCATAGCAACCAGCCAGCAATCTGTTTTCACTATACTAGATGCTCAAGCTAGTTGCTTTAGCAACCTAACAGATTTGGGTTAACAGTAGCCACATCATGTCCATGATCATTCCTTAATGGTTGCTGTGAGTCACTAAACTTTGCTCTGCTCAACCTTATTGTATAAACCTGTTTGTATCTAAACTTAATTTTTAGATTGAACCTGCCACATATTATTAAACCTGTTTGAGATAATGATGGTATAAGTGAAGGTATTATTGTCTGTGTATGGTACTGTTAGGCTTTATATTCGATTTGCATTTTTCTGTGTACATGTGTTATACATGTAGATCGAAGCATAATGTAACCAGAGAGGGATTGAAAGAAGTTGTAGTGTTCATGATATTAACAAGTACATAGAATTGGTGTTCTAAATGCATGAAGTACAGCATTTAGTCATATCATCTCAGCCTTTTTATGTACGTAACAAAGAATTCCCATTTCACTTTGCTGGCTTTGAGTGGGAGCTGAATAACAGTTTGTGGTTTATTGGGAACAGATGCACTTGGGGAAGCCTTCAGGGTGCCAGTCGTTATTATTAGACTGCTAATGTGCTTCTTCTGGCTGCTTCCCAAGAAAGAAGAACAATTAGCTGGCATATGTTAATTTTTGTTTCCCTAACAAATCTCACCACTGACTAAATGTGTAAAACAAATCCACAAAGAAAGATCAATCAATGCTGTACACACCATTTCTCCCTATTAAAATATTGTTTGCCTCAGAAAGAATGTTTGGGATTTAAAAGGGGCAGGTGTTGCCAAATTCTATACAGTAGCAGCTGATTTTTATGTTTAGGTGAAAGGCTAATGCAGTGTGCAGACAAATAATTATTAATACAAGCATCAGTCTAGGCATTTTAACACTTGCTGTTCTGAAGGAGCATGAAGGGGTTAAGTAGGGCTATGAATCAAATTACCCACATATTATCCCAGATGAATACCATTCAGATTATGGATGTAATCATTGCAAGTGTTGCACTCCTTTTAAATTTTGCTAATTGGATGCTATTTATGGCCAAAGAGGTGTGGTAGAGGTGATGAGTTTTTTTTTTTTCGTTTTTTTTTTTCTTTTTTTTTTTTTATAATGAGGAACAGTGGTTTACTGAGGGGATTAATAGATGATACATTTTAGAACAGATTGCATATATTCTCACCTATTTTCCTTTTCTCTACACTGACACCCACTTTCCAGAGTATATCAGCAATAAGTGACACTGTAATCACAAATTGAAAATGATCTTTCCAGTGGAATTGGCAAACTTGACATTTCATTATATTTGTTAACACATGCCACAAATGATTGTTAGTGAGGAAATACCATTTCCCTCTCCCCATCTTCAATCAGATTTAATTTGAAAAAGTTCAGCCTCCTCTGGCTAATTTGCAATTAAGACAATTTTGTTTGAATATGTAGTAATGTCATTACCATTCCACCAAATTAGCAAGGAGACTAAAGGTCAGTGTAAGATTTTCCAGCTGGTTGGAGCTTCTCATCTGAGATTTAGGACTAAGAACAAACACTATAGCATGGTCGGAATATGAACTTTTATTTAAGGTCTTTTCTCTTTGGGTCTTTTGATTTTTTTTTTCCCCACTATTTTGAAGGTAACTAATTCACTGATCAGTATGCACTTCATTTCTCATGACTGGTGAACACAAGCTAATTTCTACCTGTTTGGCTAAAGTACTGTTTTGAAGATTATTAGATAATCTCACTAACTCTCTTTCTCTAATAAGGTTCATGTCATAAAACGATATAATTGTCTGTAATAGGTTCTTTTCCCTTGAAGCAATCAGTTACCAGCATGTGCACAGTATAAATATTAAACCAATTTCCTCCGTCTTAAACATATTATTTTCGGATTGGAAGTGTCATCTCTGATGTATGTATGTGTTCTCTTACAGCTAAACCTGGTGTCCAGTGTCACCATGTCTAAAAACATGTTGGACACATCCCCTCAAAGCTTACCTCAAACCCCAACCACGCCAACCGCACCTGTCACTCCAATTACCCAGGGACCCTCTGTAATCACATCGGCCAGTGTACCTAATGTTGGAGCCATTCGAAGAAGACACTCTGACAAATATAATATACCTATGTCCTCAGGTATACTAATCATTTGTTTTGTCTCAACTTTTACTGAACAAGCAGATCTTTGAGAACGTTTTTATTACTGCTTGTTTTTTATGTTTTAAAATGAAAATATATATGTCTTTAAGAGAGGGCTAGATTTAATCTTTGAATAAAAATAATGGCAGGTGTTCTTATATATAACCTAAAACACGTCAATAATTTATGATTACATTGCACATTGTTTTATGCTAACACGTGATACTGGTTTTTGCTATGGGTATATACAGTTTTTAGATTGCCACTATGCTTGTGTTTTATAGAAATTGCCCCAAACTACGAGTTTTATAAAAATGCTGATGTCCGGCCCCCATTTACATATGCAACTCTCATAAGGCAGGTAAGTACAAGGAAAGTGAACTTTCATTAGATGAACATACGTTATTAGCTCAAGATGACACAGTGATACAAATGACATCTGGTCTAGTTAGAAAGTATTTTTAATGTCACTACGCATCTTCGTCTCATTTCAGGCTATCATGGAATCAAGTGACAGGCAGTTAACACTTAATGAAATTTACAGCTGGTTTACACGGACGTTTGCTTACTTCAGGCGTAATGCAGCAACTTGGAAGGTAACTACTTTCGAGCAGCTTTAGATGGCTCACATAGTGCTTGCTGATAGCACAAGGACCATTTATTTCCATGGCATAAGCAGATTAGTATCTGCGTCCTCTCTTTTTAACCTGCCTCTTGAATGGAATGAATTCTCTCTCTCAAAATGACAAGTGAAAGAATAATTTTGCCTCTGATATCGTTTTCTAATTTGGTGCAATTAATAGCAGAGGCTTGGCAGAGAAATGAGGGCCTGACACACTAATTACAGTGTGAGCACTCAATCATCAACACCTTTGTTAGTCGCACTATATTACTTTTTCTCTTGCATATTATTGGCTAATTAGTTTGAAAAATGTCTGTTTGCCTTGTGCAACAAATGGAGGCTGTAGGTTTTGTCTTGGTCTATGCCTTTTGTACACATCATAGCTCATCATACAGACTGGATCTGCCACTGTAGTGAAAGCTGGGGCTACTCAGCTGGAACTAAAAAGAAAGTAAAGTGAATATTATCCTGTCAGGACATAAATGCAGTTTATTTACTTAGACAAAAGAGTTCATCTATATCCCTGTCCAAACAACCTTATTGTCTGGTTCCCGCAGGGTGCTAAAAAATGTTCGTCATATGCATCTATTTCTGGTAGAGAGCAATGTCTGGCAAGATAAGGGTACTCAGCACAGTCTAAGTGAACTGTTTTATTTTCATTTCAAAAAGCAGTCAGAAACATCAATTAGCCACAAGCCATTTCATACAAAAGGGGAGAATGTTTGTAGCTGAGCAGAACAGAGGCGGCAAAGCACTCATCAGCATACTAAGAATTTTCAACTGTGAGATATGCTAAAGTGAATTAATTTGGATTTAAAATGCAAATGAATCTGGCAGGCGATTACAGATATATGGGTGTGAAAGGTTTATAATGCTTTTCATTTACAAAATGTTTAGAAGTTATTAGCTGCTGTGTTGCATAGCGAAGTGATGCAATTGTTTTATTTACGCACTGCCAATGGGCACATGTTTTGTTTAGTGGGGGAAAATAAACAACTACAGGAACCTGGCCAGAATCTACCTAATGACTTCTTTTTCCAATAGGTAATATTTATGTTGAAGATTTGCATTTTCTATTGTTACTCATTAGAGATTGTACTGAATTTTCTGTCATTTGATTTACTGAAAGAAATTTAAAAAGAAATGAAAGGTGATTTAATATCTTAGCTTGGTCTCATCTCCACAGCTCGGGGATCCAGCAAAACTCATTCTGAACAGCTTATTAGTTCTAACTATATCGCATGCATAATAAAACTGCTCATTTGCTCATTAATATTAAAATTATCATATTCCGAGCCATGGGCATTAAGATCAATCAAATCCTTGGATTTCAGGTCAGATGCTAGATCTGCTTATGCTTTTTTTTTTTTTTTTAAAGAATTCTTCTCTTAAAGCAAGCCAGAAGCTTGTCTTTGTGCAAATAAAAAGAAATCTTTATCAAAATTACTTTGTTTCATATTCAAGAAATAAGAATTAGGTCATTACCGAATTGACTTGATAGTATACGGCAGAAGAATCCGAATAAAAATATGTCAGATTAATGATCCCCTCCATAAATGTTTTAGCTGTATTTAACCCCTTTATAACAGTAATTTTATTTAGATGAATACTTTTTCTTATCTGAAACAGTTATGTTTAAAATAATCATTTGTTTACTGTACTTATAGATGCACATATCTGTGGAAACAAATATGCTTTTATATATTTGCATTTAACTGGAAAATTATTAAGCTAACTTTTATTTCTTTGACTGTTTTTAGTACATGCTCATCTGAAAATACACTGTAAGCATCATGGCATAAGGAACCACAGCCTCAAGAATTCTGTGCAGTGCAATGTTAAATAAAAAGAGAGAGTAGAATATAAAATATATCACTGCAGAACAATGAATAAATGACAAAGACTGTGTAATGTATATTTTTGGCTGTATGTCTGTAATGCTTACCCATCACTCAGCTGAGCCAGTAGTCAGAAAACATTAAACTGTAACTAGAAAATGGCATCTAATAATACTGAATAAACAAACTCTGTCATTTCATTATTGTGGGATGAAAAGAATGCCTTTGAGCTTATTTGCATAAAGCTTTGTGCAAAATTAACACGTGTCACTGTAGCCTTTTTAGCATGTTAATAACTCAAGCAGGACTGGTTCCTTTGGACATTTCATCTGTCCCCGAGTGCATGATCAGGGACAGAGCTGAGCTGACCTAATTGTTCTGGCATTTTCAAAGATACTGTAATTTGTACAGATATTGCAATTTAGACCAGCTCACTGAAAGGAAGGTTCTGACATAGCTATTATTAAAATAGCTTGAAAGGTTCATATAGTGTAGGTCAAGTAAGTCTTTTTTTTTCTCAACTTTGGTCCATGTTATAGCAAAACATAAAATTTCTATTTTTAATTCATGCCATCTGTACCAACAAAATGTGAATTATTTCATGGAACCGCCTCTGTTTCTTATGTCTTATTTAGAATGCTGTACGTCACAATCTCAGCCTGCACAAATGTTTTGTTCGAGTGGAGAATGTTAAAGGGGCTGTATGGACAGTAGATGAAGCAGAATATCAGAAAAGAAGGTCACAGAAAATCACTGGGTATGTCTCCATTATGTGTATATATAATGATAAATATCTGTTGCCATTGTCCACCAGTGTTTAGCAGACGTCAAGCATGTTCTTTGCTCCACAGGGGTCAAATGCAAAAGAGACTGGGCTTATTAAGGTTAACAATGATTTGAGGAATGGAAATGAATTGACAGGTTAATGATGATAAATATAATGAAAGAACCATGTTTCAGTTTAAAATTATCTACGGTATTGCATATTTGCGTGCCTCCATACTAAAAGCTCAGGATTACCGTAATAAAACACAAAATTACCATGAAATTCAATTTTTTAATTTGCACTTTAATCAATTGAACTTTCCGTTAATTGCATAAAACTCTTAACACTTAAAGGCAAAAACATTCACAAACGATTTCCTGTCCATTCCACGGTCACATTTTGCATTAAGCTGTTTATGTGCATACTACAAAATGTAAAAAAAAAAAATTCAATTCTAGGCGTAATCCTGAAAAAGTCAGAAGAACATGAAATAACAAGCCATTTATGTCAGGCAACACATGACATGTATACTTCATACATTACTGTATGGTGCAGGAGGTACAAATCAGACCAGATCCAAGCTAGTCAGCATTGATTCCCATTGGCTTGGTCATTCCAAGGCCTGTTGGAAAACCACTACAGGAACAGGCTTATAGATGTCATTTTCTAAGTGATTGACATCAACAAACACTGCAACATAAAGCTGTCTGGTTGATAGTTGCAGCAAAATGGCTCTTTGTGTATCCTGTGTTAATAACAAATGAAATATAATTGTCTCTATAGGCTGCCAGACGCTTTGCTGTCCTGTACATAGGTGAATTCACTCATGGCAATGTTTTTATTATGAACTAGTCTGGTTTTAGAAGTTCCCATTCTATTTCATGCTATAAGGATCCCACTAATCACTAAACTAAACTGGTCATATGATAAAACTTTGTTATCCTTTTAAGTAAAAACAAAAAAGCATTTCTGTGTTAAACACTGTTTATGAAGTACTCACATCTCTAACAGACAGGTGCATGTGTAAAAATAAACACAGTACCTGTGTGAGACCTCTCCTCCTCTGCATGTTACAGTATGTAAGAACCAAGGAAAAAGCTCTGTTTCCATGCAGCAGTTCCCCCTGTTTTGCTATATGGAAAGCCTTTTTTTTCAGTAAGCGGTTTAGTTGGGCATGTGAACATTATCCCTGAAGTAATGTACTGGACTGAATTTTAGCTACACTCCTACTGCAGTATAGTAAAGTAAAAGTGGCATTTGATTATGTTGAGTGATTTTACCAGTTCTCCATAAAGCAATAACCTGTTTTTCCTTTAGGCTGCAGTTCCATAGGTGCCACAAAAGAGAAAGAATTTCTAATCAGCACTGCTAAGTCATCCCTTTAATTGCTGTCACATCTTAGTTATACAGTTGGAGGTTAATTAGGCTCTGTCTAGAGACTGTACAATCACTTGTTATGTGAATAGCCAGTGTTAAGCTGCCCATAAACATGAGATGTTGGCCCGAGTCTCTAACCACTTTTGGCTGCATTGGTAACAATCTTATATGCATGGGGTGAGGCACAATATTGTTGGCTAACTGCTCTTGGAGGGAAGACCTCAGCCTTGCAAGGTATTTTATTATAATGCATAATATAACAGATATGCAGCAGTCCTATTGTGATTTACATCCAGACTACCCTGAAATGCATTGATTGTCAGAACTTATTTCACTTGTTATTTGTACACTTAGCACAAAGTAGAAGTAAACCTTAAGTGTACTCTATTTAGTCTTGTATAAATCATTTTATCCTTTCTGATAACTCGATTTGATTTTCTAGTAATTGAAAACGCTCATTCTCTAATAACCAAAGTCAAGAGTTCACATTTTAATTGCACCAGTCAATAGTCATAACATGCCAAAGAAAAGTTTCATAAAGCATTGCTATTATAAAAAAAGCCTACATTTTTACAGCTCATTTATAGCTTAGAACAATATGGACTTTAATTTTAAAGTAGTAAGGCTTTTAGGTAAAGAGTTCTTGCAGAAGGTTTGCATTTAGAAGTAGTGGAGTTCAATAATGCCTGGTTGAGTCATTACTGTAAAGTTCCTGAATCCTTTTACAAATAGATCTAAATAATATCACTTATATATCACCTACTGTACATAATTCAGTCTTTTGGAGCAGATCTATTAGAAAAGCAGTGAACCAATCATGCTGTAGTTGGGGGAGGGGATATCTGACAAGCCCTGAACACAGAGTTTCCAAAGAACAAGGAAAAAAAAATCTTTGACCAGTCACAGTGGGCTACAGATGAAAATAGATCATTTTAGCATGTTAAAACAAAATGTGTAGCAGTTATATCGATTGTTTAATGAAACATAGACAGGGGAATTTATCAAAACTGGAGCAGACAAAATATGGAGCAGATTTGCACTGAAATCAGTCAGCTCCTCTGTCTCATTTTCAAATCTTACCTGAGAGAACTGAAGAGATATGCTGATTGATTGCCATGGGCAACTGCTCCAGATTCTGTTTGCTCCAGTTTTAATAAAGTCTAACATTGTCCTGACTGTAAATAGTAGACAACTCTAGGTACCTTCATAACATCTCTGCTTACCTTTATAGCATCCCATGACCCCTAAATCTGTATGCTATAATAACATTTACACCTCAAGTTCTTTATTATTGGCCCTTGACTTTAATGGCCTGCTCTACTCACCAGTTGTAGGACACATAGGTGGGACAGGCATCATTGGCAACCTGGAAGCTTAGTTGGTAATTGCCAAAGAATATTCGTTGTGGCATGCAGATACCTGGAATTGCCTGTTTAAAGTGCCACTTTAGAATCTGTGTCACTTCAAAGTGAAGAATTCATGCTTCAGGGTTTATTTGCTAAAGGCAAATAAGCTAAGCAAAACTTCCCATGCAAAGTGCAAATTCCCCTGCAAGGTAAAGAGCCTATTCACCTTTACTAAATCAACCATATTGTGGTGCAAATATAGATTTTGTTTCCCACCAACAGATTTCCTTTGAATGTAATTAAGATCTTCTTCGTCATGTGTTGCTAGGCTTCTCAACAAGCACATTTTTGTGACTTTGACACTAAATGACACTTGACACTAACTCAGTTCAAATAACTGCATTTCTGTTGTAGTGCACTAGCTGTATTCATGCTTGATTTATTGTGGACTTTTAAAGTTTATTTATAGATAACTGTCATTTATTTGTCAAAACTGCATGGTCAGAGAGAGTACTTTCTTCAAACAATGTTCTTTTTTATTTTACAGTAGTCCAACATTAGTTAAAAACATACCTACCAGCCTTGGCTACGGTGCAGCTCTCAATGCAAGTTTACAGGTAACAGAACATTCTGAATTAATTTATACTTGATTTGTAACACACAATATATACTCACTAGCTTTCAGCACAAAGACTTTGGTACAGGACTATATGATTTTTTTTTAGCTGTCATGTCTTATAAGGTAATCGTAATTCAGGGGTTTATTTACCATTATAGGTTAGTGTTAGTGTCAGTTGTTGAAGGTTTAACATTGAGTGTTAATGTTAAGAATAGGGTTAAAATTAAGGAATTTGTTTAATGTAATTGGAAGAGGTAATTTAATAAGGGAATTGCCTTAGCTTACCTCTTTCTAAAGCTGGTCATACACCTTACAATTATCTGCAGATTTTCTGTGGATAGAAAGTGTAGATGAAAAAAGGTACAGCAGATTCCTCCATCTACACTTAACTGTGTAGATGGAGTAATCTCCACCTGGGCCAATCTGTTGCACTTTTTCCATCTGACCACAGAAAATCTGCAGATAATTGTAAAGTGTATGGGCACCTTTAAAATGCTATTTATCTGGCTGTTATGCAGGCCCTGTGGCTTCAGTTGCTTCAGACTTGCTGACTCACAAAAAGTGTGTATATCAGAAAAGGTGGATTAAAGGCATACGTCTGTATCTTCCTACTTGTTTCTGGTTAGTAACTCAAAGTAAATGGCACAAGAGTCAGGCAACTAGCATTTGCAGGAGAGGTCAGCAGTGGCAGCCTCGGGTCATGACAGATTTACTTTGTTTTAGGTTTTCACGCTAAATATTGAGTTAGTGTTGGTTTAAGGGGAGGTTAAGGTTTAAGTTTTAGAATCAGATTAAGGGTTACAGGATTTGTTTAAGGTGGGACTATCAGTAACTTTACAAATCTGCATGAAAAAATATGTGATATGTCACAATATAGAGCAACATTTTTAAAGAAAATTGTTCCTGACATAGTTTAAAAGTAGCTCTCCAGTTTCAGGCAGGTGACTTTGGTTAGGCCAAGATGAGGCCGTCAGACTAATAACACCAGGGGGAAGCATTTCCTCACTCTCCCCTGACAATAAGATAATAACATTGTAACGTTGTACCAAAAAAGGTAAGCGGCTGCAGCACAGAGCTGATCTGCGTTAGTCATTTTTGAACACAGTGAAGTACTGCACAGGCAACAGGATTTAAATGGCCGTGTTATTTCTGAGCCAGAATCTCCATACAGGAAGTACTGTAGATGCTGGCCTGGCATAGTGCTCAAACAAAGATGACAACATCCTCCTGGAAGAAAATTAGATGAAGGCAATACTGTGATCTCTGAAACATATTACATGCTTAATGGTGTTAACCTGATAATTTGTGTAGTACACATGCACTTAACATGAAAAAAAGCTGGTGCTAGGTCTACTTTTAGGGGTTAAGTTGTCAGTGTTAGAGGAAGATTTGTTTACGGTCAGTTTTACATTGTTATATTTCGGGGTTAAAGTGAGAACTAAGTGTTAGGGTCAGTTTAATGTTTAGGTTTAGGGGTCAGAAACAACACAGAGGGATATACTTATTTTAAACTTGTTTTTTGCATGAAAAGCCCTAGCACAGTACTTAACAATGTTCTGAATACATGTCTGTCTATCTATCTATCTATCTATCTATCTATCTATCTATCTATCTATCTATCTATCATGAAAACACACACTTTTCTTTATTAGTTTTAGCAGGCACAGTTATAAAGCAAAATACTCTGTGCCTAATTCCTATTACTTTTGATGTGAAGTGGCAAGAAGGACACCCTGTGGCAAGTTTTGGAATACTCATGTTTTCTCAGTGTAACTGACTGAATTGCTGCTATTAAGTCTGAGATTTTAACCAATACTTTTCTAACGTAAGCATCAGTGTACTATGTTGAAAGTAATGCAATCTAAGCATTGCAGACTCCTTAATACACCAAATTGGCAGTAAGCTAGAAAACAGAGTAAACCAAAGCAAAATTGTGCTGGCTAGTACTTTGCTCTGCAGATTTTATACTTCACGTGTTACCCTCTCTCAGATAAATATTAGTGTCACATAAAGGTCAAAGGCTGACAATCCTTGTTAAGAAAAAGGTCTGAGAAAATAATCGTCAATCTCCCTTTTATTTCCTACCAGGCCGCTCTGGCAGAAAGCAGTTTACCTTTACTGAGTAACCCAGGTTTGATAAACAATGCATCTACTGGCTTACTACAGGCTGTGCACGAAGACCTCAATGGTTCACTGGATCACATCGACAGCAATGGAAACAGCAGTCCAGGCTGCTCCCCACAACCACACATGTAAGTGCATACAATAGTGTATTATGGTAAACTTGTTTCAAACCTGAGCAGTTCACACTGAGCATTTGATGAAAAAATGAATTTGCAGAGATTACTTTCAGTGAAAACTGCTTATACCAAAGTTATTGGTATATACAGAGATAAAGGCAGCTGAAGTTGTACACAAATGTCAATGTTTCCTGTAAAAGTCAAGCTTGGCCATGCTCCTACCCTCATCCTTTGTAATCACCTAGGCCATCCTTCACATTGGAAGATAACATACAATTCTGGAGATGGTAGAGGCAGTTCAAGTTCAACTTTACCTGAAAAGTTCAGAGTTGCATATAGCTTCCTCTGCCTACTTATGCATTTTCCCCTCATATGCTCAGTTCAGGTTTTGCCATGTTTTGTGACAAGTTTACTTTGTGTTACTGAATGCCTGTCATCCTTCATGGCTAAATCAGGAGACAAATGTATTATGCATTTTGGTTTAAATGTTGGTATTCTCACCTATGGTCAAATGTATTATTATAACTTTGATAGGTTGGTTACTTTTCAGGGATCCCTTATTTTTAAAGAACTGATTACTTTTGCTGAAAAAAAGGCAATATACCAAAAGAAAAAAAGGCAAATATATTTGTTACCCATAACTGTTACCTGTTGTACAATACAAATGCTTTTTACACATTAGGAATTAGTGTATGGGGTACAAATTACACATCAACACATCTGGATATAACTGTTGTTATGCAGATATCATCAAACCAATCATTTTATCTCCCTCCAGTACTATTTAGTGACTTTTCAGCTGTTGAAATCTGCATTCATTGTTGGCACTGTACATTTCTTGACAAGATGCCAATATTTGCATGCACAGTTGTGAATATGCTGTGCATTTAGCTTAATAGGTTGTAGCTCATACATTTACAGGATTTGGAAGCGTATCAAAAATAACAAATGTTGCATTTCCATCTTGTTACATATGTCGTATTGTGTTAATGTGCTAATCAGATACATAACATCATTTTACACTCTTGTTACTCATTTACATGATCAAATGCTTTATCTGCTCTTTTCTTTGCAGTGCTCATCATCAGCATTTTATGATTACTGTCAGTGCACTATGCTTAGCTACTGTAGTACATTACAAAGTATTCTGATGTACCTGTGCATCAATTTAATGCTGTATAGATTTAAGACACCTTCTCGAGAGATCAACACTGCAAACTGCAGAGTTCCAGTGGATTGGAAAATTTGCTCCAGTTCCTTACACTGGCTGCTTATAGAGCAGAGACACAGGATTTATGCAGGCTAGTACCTGCATATGGCCAGCCTAGCTTAGAGCAGGTGTGAGTCAAAAATCTAGACTGATGATACTTTTCTTTCTATGACAGTGCTCTTGTTTGGTCTGACCTGATAAGTGCTATTAAGTGTTCTATACATATGCTACCCATGTTGTTCAAGCATATGTATATGGGAGGGGCAGACTTGATGGACCACTTGGTCTTTTTCTGCCATCACTCTTCACTATGTTTCTATGATACCAAATGTTACTATCTGTTGGTTGCTAGCAGTTACAAAATGTTTATGGTGTAAACCATAAAATCATTATTCCGGTGTCTACCTACAAATTATTTTAGGACTGCCCCTTAATATTTCCTTTTTACTTTAAAGACCCCGTCACCACCCTAAATATGTGAGGAATAAGCTATCATGTAACTGTATTCACAGTAGAATAGTTGTGGCTCTCTTTATTTTCTAAATTTGCTGCAAACAGTGCCGACACTTATCCCATACATCTCAGATGTCGTGTACTAATCTGTTGCCTTTGCATCCCCTCCCCAACCCCGATGTCACTGTTGTTTATATTAATATTTATTTTGGCTAGTTATGATTTGTTTTTACACAAAATAACAGCATGGATAAGGAACAATAACAACATGTTTCGGAGCAATATCAGTTATACAAGTGGCATGTATTTTTGTACAGTACATTATGTTCATCAAGGAGCAATAGTACATTTTTTGTACACCAGTTTTTACAAAGTTGTGACAGTATAGGTACTACAAAGTAGACTGATCGGGGG